TTAGAAAAATTATTAGAAAAATAATAAAAATTTTACAAAGATACTTTTTATAAGTAAATTTTTTTTGTTTTTTTTATTATAATAGTAAGCAATAAAATATTTAATAAACCTTTTATAAGTAAATATTTTCAGTTTTTTTTATTAGTCACAATAAACAGAAAAATAAGTATACTTAACTTTTTTAGAAGCAAGTTTTCTTTGCTTCTTTTTTTTTAAGTTTAAATTTATTATTATATATTTACTTCCTCTTTTTTTTTTTCCTGCATTTTTATTTTAATTTTTTATAAGTATTCTTTATTTTATTATTATCTTTTATTTTTATAAATTATAATAATAAACATAAAAATAATAATTATAAAACTTTTTTTAAGCAATTTTTTTTTAATTTTTTTAATAATAGTAAATAATTATTTTATTATAATAAGTAATTTATATAATCTATTATGAAAAAAACATATAAGGGCTTTAAAAAATATAAATAAATTTTATACAATTTTATTATTATAATAATAATAATAGTATTAACTTATATGAAAATTTTCATTACAATATTATTATAATAACACTAATATAACAAGACATTTAGTAACTTTTTAAATGTTATATAATAATAATAATATTTTTTATTAAACTTTTATTAGTAAATTTGTAGACAATCTTAAAATAATAATAATAATCATATAAAGATTTTATTAACTTTACTATATTTATAATTTTAATATTTATAATAATAAAAAAGTTACTAACTTTTTATATGTAAAATATAATAATATATTTTTTATTAACTTTTTTTTCAAATGTTCTAATAATAATACTTAAAGAATAAATAATAAATTTCTCAACTTTTTTAAAGGTAAATTTCCTAAGAATAACAGTAAACTAATAATTTTTTTTAAAAAAAAAATTTCTTACAATATTAATAATTATTAAGAAAAAATAATTATTCTATTAACTTTTTTAAAAGAAAATTTCATAATAATAAGAGACTAATAATTTTTTTCTATAATTTTTCTTATAATAATAATAACATAAAAAAAAATAATTATTCTTTATCTTTTAATAAGCAAATCCCTTAAAACTTTATGATAATAATAATAAACTATTAATTTACTATAATTTTTCTCAAGTACAATAAATTCTTAAAAGTTTATTATGATATATAATTAATAATTATAATTATAAAATGGTACATGAAATTTTTTTTAACAAAAAAAATTATATTAAACTTTTAATATATAAAAATAAATAATCATAATTCTAAATATTTAATAAAGCTATAAATTATTAAAAAAAATGGCATAATATAATTTATTATAAATAATAAATAGCAAAAACTTATATACTTTCAATATTTATAAAAAAAAAATAATTAAAATTTACTTAAAAGAAGTTCGTATAAAATAGCAATAACTAAAAAAATTCCACCTCGCCTTATGAGTTTTCTTGTTTTCATTTTCGCGGTACTATATATTATAAAAATAAATAATGAAATTTAGTATAAAAAAATTATTAAATTTTATTAATGAAAATTATTAAATTGTTAAATGAAATTTTTATTTAAAAAAATATTATAAAAATAAAAAAATAAGGAACTTTAGTATAAAAATAATCGTTGTTTAATTTTAAATAAAATCAATAAATCGTTATAAATAATTTGCTTCAATTTTTTATAATAAAATCCATTAATAAAAAAAAATATCTTTTTTTTTTATAACATCTTTTAAAAAATTAAATTTTTTTTAATAATAAAACTAATAATTATATTAAACTTATTATAGTATTAAAAATTATAAAATACAAATATGAATGAAATTTTTGAAGTTGAATATTTTTTTAAAAAATTAATAAAAAAGATTGTTAAAAAATATTTATGATATCACTATAGAAAAAGAAAAATTAAAAAAATTAACTTTTGATTCGCCATCCGCTGGTGTAAAAGTCGCCACGTGGACTTCCTTCAATGTGGAGCATTTCTCGCGCGCAGAAAAAATTGTATCGCTTCTAAATTGGTACTATTTGGTTAACAAGCATCAAAAAAATAACGCATTTAAATACATCTCTTTGTGAATAAAATTTTCCAACCAATAAAGAATTTTAATAAAATATACCAAATTATTTACAATAAAAAAAAATGACATAAAATTGTTAGAAAAATTGAAGAGGATTAAAAATAATAATAAAAAATATCATAATGAAAAATATTTTATTATAATAAAATTAAATTAACGTATAATTAAAAAATATTTAAAAAAATATAAAAGGATTAGCTACCATTCAACTAATTTGAAACCATTAAATGTAATCTGAAACTTTTTGAATAATTTTTAACCAATATCGACTTCCATATCATAATAATAGACCTAAGAGGTTAAGAGGGTCCCACTACTCTACTTCGAGCGCGGCTACTCCCGAAACTAGAATTCGTTTGTCATTATGTATACAAGTCGATAGGCGTGAAAATATTTAAACAAGGGGAATGGGTGTGCCAGGAATTATTTTTTTATTAAGTTTTTATAAATAAATAATAAAATTTATAAATTAATACAAAGAATACTTATTGTTTTACTAACTTGCGGAGAAAGAAAGGAGGAGCTATCTATTTATTGCTCCGTAAACGAAGAGTACTTATATCTTCGGGGGAAGAGATACAAGATGTAAAAAATGTGTGACAGACGTAGAAACACGTGCTATGACATGCGGCAAGGGCACGTAGTATAAAACACATGATGTGTAATATGTGGTATAATAAACACAGGGTATATGTACCACGCACGTGATTTATCATAATTAACTCCAACGTTAACCGAATGAACATCGATGAGCAAACCCTCGCATGCTTGAATTACTTAAATCGCATGCTTGAATTACTTAAAGGAGAATACATTCTAAACATTTTTCCTGTACTACTATTGATTTAATTGTAATGTTTAGTGTGTCGCCGGTGACTACGAGAATTTAATCTTTGATAACTTTTTATATAGGGATTTGAGTTTGGTTAGTACTACGAGTTCAGGCATTATAAAAATAAAGAAAAAGTATATAAAAATAATAACAATGAAGTATAAGAAAATTCTAAGAATATAAAAAATTATTTTATATGATAATTAAAAAATAGAATAAATAAATAAAATAAATAAATTGATTTGAAAAATATATAATATAAAAAAAAAAGCAAAAAAAAAAATTAAAAATACATAAAAAATAATAAATTATTTAAAAAATTATTAATTTATTATTTTTAAGTTTATAAGTAAAAAATAAAATTAATTATTTATATAAATTTTGAAAAAAAATAAAAAAAGTATAAAAGTATTAATAATAATAAATTTTCTATAAAAAAATATATGAATACGTTTAATATACATTTAATACTATTTTTAAAAATTAAACTTAATATAGTAATTACAAAAAATATAAAATACAAAAGAAATATATTTAAATAATAATAAAAAATTAAAAAAGAAATAATTAAAAATATAAAAAACAAAAATATTAGAAAAAAAATCGAAAAGGCTTAATAAAATAACAAATAATAATCAGGGTAAAAAAAATATATTAATAAATTTATTATTTATTATTTATTATTTATTACTTATCACTAGCCTTAAATTTTCCTATGAAGGAAACAATCAAATTTTCATATAAAGATATAAAAATTAAAAAAAATAATTTTACGAATAAAATAAATAAATAAAAATAATTAATTAAAAATAATTTAAAAGAAAACATAAAAATATTAAAAAATAAATAAATTATACCTAAACAATTATATAAATTTAAAATAAATTTAATTAAAAAATTAAAAAAGCCATAAAATTATAAATACATATTTTAAACACTAATTTTTTATTAATATTTACTTAAAAAACTTTAATCAAGTTCTGAAATAAGTAAACATTCAAATTTTAATTATAATTAAAAAAAATTAAAAAATTAGAAAAAAAATTATTTAAATTTTATACAAATAATAAAAATAAAAATATTATTGCCTAATATTTAGTATTATTATTAAGTTTTTATCTAACAAATAAACAATTTTAAATAAATATTTTTTTAGTAAAAAAATAAAAGTTTTTAAAATTTTATATAATATAATAATAATAAAATAAAATAAACAAAATACTTATTATTATAAAGTTTATATACACACAAACAAACAAATTTATAATAATTATAGAAAATTTATTATAGTAAAATTAAAAATCTTTAATAATTTATAATTAAAAAATAATAATAATAAAAATTAAAGTCAATCTATTTTCTTAGAAAAAAAATTTTCGTTTAATAATAATTTTTAATACAAAAAAATAATAAAATTTATATAGTTTTCGTTCAAAGTTTTTATATTTGTTATTAACTAAAACTAATTACTTTTAATTTTTTTTATATTTAAATAAATGCTTTTGTAGTTATGAATTATTAATAAATATTATAATTTTATAAAAATTTTGATTATTGTTAATTATCAATTAAACCTTTTTGAGTAGAATTAAATTTATTTTAATCAATATTATTAGTAGTAGTAGTAGTAGAATTATTATAAGATTGAATAACCTGCATAATTAAAAAATTTTCTATAAATAAATTTAATTATAATTATTATATTTTTGAGACTTTATTATTCAATCTTTTATTAATAAATTATAGAAAGTTTTTTTAGGAAATCTTAAATTAATTGTAAAATCAAATTATTTGTTATTCTTTTTACAATTTTATTAAATTAATTATAAATATTATAAATTATTAACGTTAAACAAAATTTAAAGTAAAAATACTAATACAATATATAATATTAGTAATAATATTTCAAATAAATATAAAAAGTTTATCTAATTCCTAATTAATTTTAATTACATTTTATATAAAAAAATTAATTTGTAAAAATTTTCAAATTAACGAGATATTAAAAAAAATTAAAACAATTAATTGGATTTTTTCAAATTTTAATTAAAATTTCTCTTAAAAATTTCAAACAACCTCGTAATTCCAAAAGTGCGTGCCGCGTAGTTTACAGCAATAAGCCCATCCCACTGTCGAACTACAAGAGGTGTGCTATAAAATTATATAAATAAAATAATTTGCAAAACAAATTATTATCAAATAAAAATAAAAACTTGAGATATAAATGTATACAAAGTAAATTTACATATAAAGTAATTCATTGCAAGAAAATTACAAATTGCAAAATTATTTTATTAAATTTTAAATAAAAAAAACTTTAATTATAAATTGCAAGATTAAATAAAATCATAAAATTATTATTTAAAATCTTTACTTAAATTCATAAAACTATAAGTAAATGAGATTCTTTGTTAGCCGTCCTTTTTTTTTAAATATATTATAACAAAACAATTTTATTTTTTTTGTTATAAGGTAATAAACTTATCAATATATAAGACCTTTCAGGGATATCTAATCTCACTCGCTCCACTTGCTGTGTTTCATAATAAAGGTTTTAAAAAAAAAGATATATACACAGACTAAGTAGTAATAATTACGCAGTAGAAACAATCCAAATCAAAGTGAACTACAACTTTGAAATCTAACGAGCAACTTTTATCATGTTTTTGCATAACTCTGCGTAAAAGTAATCTAAATTATATAATTTTTAAGAAAAAAAAAAAAAAGGAAAGAATTTCATCCGTAAATATAAAGCTTTTTCAAAACGTTATTATACCTTAAGCTATAAAAAAAAATTTACTGACTATCGAACTTATTATTACGTTTTAGATTTAAAAAGTTTACTAATTATAATCCTTTTACTCGGCTAATATTGTTCCTTAAAAAAAAAGTTGTTCGCTCGTTGACGCCATTGCCGCGTTGGAACAAAGTTAGGGATAAGAAGTTTTACTTTAAACAGATAAAAGAGAGTTTCAAGCTAAATAGAATACTTCTTAGGTCTTTTGAACCACTCGGTATTATTTGCTCTACTAAACAGTTATAAAAAACATTGTAACAATTAAAAATGTTTGCGTTTTCTTCTAAAAGTTTTCTGCTTTATGCAGTCAACTTTTTATTTACTAAAAATGTTTGTTTCATCTGCGAGAAGTTTGCAGCTGTATACGGTCTAATTTTTAAATTTAGGAAATATTTTTTACTATAAGTTTGCTACTGTACACAGCGAATCTTTTAAGTATAAAAAATACTTATATATATAAAATAAAATTTTTTTTAGTTTCTTCTAAAAGTTTGCTGTTGTTTATAGATGAAAGCTTCAAAATACTGTAAACATGTTTATTGCCTTTGGTATTAAGCAAAGTTCTATTTAATTTTTTAACTTTAAAAGTAAAAACACGATAATATTGGATAACCATTATCTTTACTTTTATTTAAATAACTTCTTACGTATTAACTTAATATTTAAAAAGTGTCTGGCTTTTTTAAAAACTATCTAGAGTACAATAGCTCAATAGTTACTTTATAGCGTGACACATATAAAATAGACTTGAAGGCTATTATAGTATTAATACTAATAACTGCGGAATTGAATAGTTTTTTTTTTAGTTTATTAAAATTAAATATTTTTTTCAAATGTTTAAATTTAATTTTATTTTCCCTATTTCTTGTAATAAAATCTTTACGTGCTAAAATACATATGTTCCAAAATTTACGTTTTAAATACCGCACTAACTTCTTTTAATTCCTATTTTTTAAAATTTAAAAAAGTTATTTTTGTTTTGAATTTACTGGTAACGTTTTTTTATTTCTTGGTTCGCCATAAAGTATAATTAAAGAACCTAAGTATTTTTAAAAAAAATAGTTTGCTAGTTTAGTTCTTCTGACTCTCAATAATAATAGTATGCCATACTTAAATAATATAAATACTTCTTCACGGGAGCACTGCTCACTATTTATTTTAGTTACCGGTCTCGTCTTTGTATATCGTTGCCTTGTAGTTTAGTTATAAATTTTTTTATATTACGCATGCACTTTGCTTATATGGTGCACAACGTCATTAAGAAGAAATCGTAGTAGTTTGCGTTATACTTTTCACAACTGTTCTTTTTATATATCTATAAAAGCGTTATCTCAAGTTGTGTTTGATTGGCTTTCGGGATATACAGTGCCATGTTTAAGATGTGAACTTTCCGTTAACGTCGAATAAACTTAATAACAAGGCAAAACTAGTTTACATCTCCCGACGCTTCAACTATTTTGTTAAAATTAAAGCTTATTAGTATTTTGTTAAACTGTTGTTGGGTGAAACTGTTTACTTTCGTATAACAATCATTCGAACTATGCTACAGCAGCTCTACTGAGTTATAAATAAAGCGTAAAGCATCTACTAGGTTTGTATGAATTTCCGTTTTAGGTCTTTTTTTTAGCATTGGTTTTAAAGTGTTAGAAATCGTCGTTTTTAAATAAGTTTATAAACGTCGTATAGCTTTTTTAAATCATAAGGTTTTTGCCTTTTACACATTATAGTTGCAAGTTTAAAGTTACCCTTAAACTGCGATTAATGTAACCATTTTAAAAGCGCAAGTTCTTGAATTTTGTTATAAGATTTGACCAAACCGATATACAACTAAAAGAACCGTTACTGCTAAATTGTTTAGCATCAAAGTATATTCATTCAATTTAAAAACTCAACTATTTATATTTATAAACTTCGCATGACATTTATTGCTTTTTTAACTATTGACTACGGCTTCTTTTCACAAAAAGTACTTTTATTTAAAATAGCACTGAATCTACAAGTTAGGTTAAGAGTTATTTAATACATTTATATATTAATCGGCAAAGTATCTTAGCTTTAATTTAATTTAGATATTTTCAAGATAATTTATTATATTAATTATTATTTAGTTTTAGTTACTTCTCTTAAGTGTTATAATGTTTATTATGCCTTTTCAACTTTTTTTTTATATAATACCTATCAACATTATAAATATTTATCATAGTTTTAAATACTATCCATTTTATTTTAATATATATTTAGTAAAGTTATATTACTATTTATCATTATTATTATTTAAAAATTTATTGAGATCTTCCTTTTATAAAATTGCCGAAGCCAGCCGTCCAACAACTTTATTTTTTAATACACAACTCCACATATAATCACATCAACTTGCGATGAATTATAAGTTAAGAGATATAATATAAATTTTCTGATCAACTCAATTTATGCGAAGTATGTAAATAACTTAATACTAATATTAATAAAACAGCAAAAAAATTATATAAAATAATATAAAAATATTTATATTAATAAATTATCAAACTTTAAAAAAAAATATTTACACAAAATTTTTTTAAAAAAACTAAAAATACAGAAATACTTTATTTTTTAGTAAAAATCACGTGGACTTCAAAATTTACAGAGATTTTCTAAGGGAAGCAGGAAAATTTAAAAAATTACTTCGTCAAAAAGGAAATTGATTACATGTCAGGTCGATTACAGAGATGTACACAGAAACTTTTTATTGTTGAATGATTTATAATTACAAAATAATGCTCCAAGTAAACTATGCAAACGCAAATATTTTCTTTAAAAATCAAAAATTTTGGAAGTCTACTTTATTATTAATATAAATTATAACGCATATAAAACCTTATTGTTACTGAGAAATCTAAAAGTATTATTTAGCTAAAAGTTTCCATTTTAAATATCGCAGAGGTCAGATTAGTAAATTAATAATTCCGGTTTAATTTTATTTTTAAATTAATATTAAATTTATTAAAAGAACTGATCTTATTCTTTCAACTTTCCAATACAAGAGGCTCATTTTCTTGAAGGCCGACAGAAATATCCCAATCTACGTAAAAAAAAAAAAGAAAAGGGTGATAAACTTTAAAAAGTCATTTTAGATTTTTATAAAAAAATTTAAATTTAAATAATAATTTTATATAAAAAACTATACTACTCATATAGTAGAGTAATAATAATACTAAAGCGCTTTATAATAAATCGGTGTAAACGCTTCAGTCTTTCTTTAACATCAGCTCTTAAGTTTTCGGCTTCATTAACATTTTCATATAATTCCTAAAAATAATATAACGTTTAACAAAAAGAAAATGAAATTTCAATAAAATTTTTAACAAATTAAACTTTTTTTAAAAAAAAAAATAAAACATTTAAAGAGGCCGTTAAAAAATTTTCGCAAGAAATTGCATCCACGTAAAAGTCACGGGGAAGCTCCTTTAATTGCCAGTAAAGAACATCTTTTAAAAAAAAAATTAAGAAATTTAAATTTTGTAGTTTATAGTATCTTTGATCTTGTTTAATAATATTATAAATAAACTCAAATAAAATTTTTTAGAAAATTTTCTATAAATAATTTCTTTAGTTATATAACAAAAAAAGTAATAAAAAATTCATAATAATTAATATAAAATGAATATAAAATTGATAATAATAAAAATTAAAATTAAGCCATATACAATATGAACAAGGAACCAATTCTTTAAAAAAAAATTGTAGACAATAGTTTTCTAGTATCTAAAGACTCCGGGAATAGATAACCAACAAAATAAAGTTTATGCTCTTCTCAAGAAATTTAGCAATAATAATTACAATGATAATAATTATAGTAATAATAATAAAAATAAACCAAGATAGTTATAGTAAAGATCCTGAAAATAGACAAGCGCATTGCGGCTGCAGCAAAGCAAATGAGTTAAACGTTTCCATTGCTCAAAAGCATCAAAGCAGTGACCAATTAGAAAGCATATAAATGCAAATTGGTATTCACCAAGAAGCTTAAAATGATCTGAATTTATTTATTTTCGATTAATAATATTCTCTAATTTTAAAATTAATTATTTCTTTTATAATAATTATTTTTGTAAGTAAAAATTTAATTAAATTTAAAATTATTTCATTCTTTTTAAAATAATGATTATTGTTAATTATAAATTTTTGTTTATTTTTTTATAAACAAATTTATAATTAGAGAAAATAAATTTAATTTTTTTTTTATTAATATCTATTTTAATAAAAAAGTTTATAATGATTTGATATTTTTTTTCCAAATTAAATATTTTTTATAATTATAATTATTTTTTTTTAAAGATTTGAAATATCTGAATAAAAATTTTTTAATTAATAATCTGATTTTTAAATTTTTTATGCAATAATAATATTTTTTAATTATAATTATCATTTTAAGAACGAAAGAATATAAATAAAAATTAAATTATTCCAGATTATTTATTTATAATTTATCATTATTTCATTGATAAAAAATAATAATACGTATATAAATTATTTTTCGAAATGTTCATAAATTTATTAAGTTTTATAATTAATTTTTTTACCAAAATAAAAATGTTCTTATATATTTTTTTAAGTAGAGAAGTTTAGTTACTTTCTTAAAATTTTATATTAGTATATTTAAAGAGCAATTCTTAAAATGTTCTTAATTAAATTTTCTAAAATTTTTATTTTTATTTTTATATAAATTTATTAAACCGTTTTGGAATTCTTTTTCAAGAAGCGAAGTCAAAAGCCATGAACTATCCATCGAGCATTTCGTTATCTGCCAGTATACAATAGAAACTTCTCATTAAAAATAAAAATTTCAAGGAAATTATTACTTCAAACTTAATAAAATAAATAATAACAGT